GAAGAGACGCTGGGACAATATGCCAACATAAAAATCCTGTTGCTGCCCCTGAGTCAGGTGAATCCCCACAGAGCATGACGTCTGAGGTCTTGAAGTTACAGTCTAAAGATCACACTTGCATATATATACCTGAGAGAGCAAAAGAACAGCTCATTGGAGCATCCGTGTGACCAGGGCTGGAAAGGGGCAAGGGAATCACATTGGACAGGAGCTAGCCTGGGTGGATACTGGGAGTAAATTGTATGAAATCAGTCAGATTGAGTCCAGACTACATTTGGTGACACAGAGGGAAAAAAAAAAATGCAGTAGTGATAAAATCTCAAATATCTAAATTTTTGAAGCATTTTGCAAAGAGGTGTCTTGTACCCCAGGCCTGAGGAAGAGCTCAGTGTCCAGCCCCAGGGGGAAGGAGATGTGCAGGGGTGTGCACAGCAGTGGGAGCTCGAGGGAGACCCAGGAACAAAGCCTGGCATTCTTTGTTACGAACCAGGTGGATGATGCTCCACATTGATTTGGAGACAAACTCTCCATTTTAACTGTGCTCAGTGAAAGAATGAGCCTAAACCATTCTCACATCAGATGCTCTTTAGAAGGTGTTTTGCATATTTTATTTGTGCCAAACACTTTTTAAAAAAATGTAGTTCATGTATTTAATTAATTTATAGAGATTTGCTGCTGTAGCAATATGGCCCCTTTCACACCAAAGAATCTTTTGAAAATGAATAATGCAAGAATAGCTCTAAGCAACATTTTGAATAGCTACTGTTCTTTTGCAACTTTTGAAAATAAATAGTATCGTATTCAGTAGCCTTGGTAACAGCCATAATTTAATTTTAAAAGTATCTTTCTGTGTGTCACAAGCCTTTTTTCTATGGAAAAATTAGGGGTTCATTAATCCCCCAGTTTGCCAAATACCATATGTTATACAAAGATATAAGAATAGACTCAAAATATTGGGCGAGTTCAAGGAAAGTGTCTTTCCACTATAATTCATTATTTAGTATTTTTGTTTTTAGATATCTATCCATCTCTCTCCAAACTTTTGGATGGTAGACACTAGAAAGAAACTCAGTTTATACTCCTCTTCTTGTATAAGGCAATTAATTATAAGAGATTAAAATATGTATTGAGCTAAAGAGAAGTGTGGTTTTGTGTGTACATTTACACACACACAAAGTGATATCACATCTTAAATAACAGTAAGAGTATATGAAGTTTGCTAATAAAAATCATATTTTTAGCTTTTTTTTGTTTACCATTCAGTGTATACCTACCACATTTACACTGGCTAAATAGCATGCAAACAGCCTGTTGTCTGAGGCCCTTGTGACTAAGTCTTATTTTCCATAGTTCAAAATCCACTGTGACAATTTCTAATGGATTAATATCTGCTTTATTATCTAGTGGGCAAATTAAACATAGTACAGCACCTTTAACGGTGATTGTTTTCAGAATTGCCAAATTTTGGTGTGGTTTTGTTTTTGTTTGTTTAAACAATTAAGCCATGGAAGTCAGACATCACAGAAACTTTGCAGTTCTTGAGACAAGTCTGTACAGTAAATGAGAAAGGTAATAACAATAATATTCTGTAATCGCTACCCAGGCATTCTTTGAGTTTTGTTTAAGGAAATCAAAGAAAATTAAAGGACCAATTGCCTCATAGGTGTTAACTAGTTCTGGCTCAAGTTTTCCCTGATTGTATTTTAATGCTTTAAAACAATCAACATTTGGCCTGAAAATGGAAGGCTGAATTTAGAACAGGATGGTTTAGTAGAACTCATCTTTGAATTATATCCCCATCCCCAAAAGCTGTTCCAAGATGTCTTATTTCATTTTTAGAAACAGCTTCATCTGTGCTCCCAACATCATGCATATTTTTTAAAGGCTTTGCAAAAGCCACTTCATAGAGCATACAATTTCTAACCACAGAAATCAATGTAGAGAACTAGTAAGACAAATTCATATGCTGAATGAAATTTAGAGGCGTGCGCAACTGTGTATGATTTTTCCAAAAGATGAAGCAAAAGGCCTGAAGGAGACATAACTGCTATTATTTTAAAGCCCGCTGAACAAAAGAAAAATCCCAAGACAGCTGACACTACAAGTATGTCAAGAATATTGTGCTACTTGATGCAGAAAAGCAAGTCCCTTCCAAAAGGAAGATTCTGTTTTTTGAGATCCTTGTAATTTTGATATATTTGCTGTAGCAATTACAACTCTTGCTGATTTTTGTTTTCTGCAGTATTTCAACCTTACTTTTACTGACAGGCAAATCACGATAACCTGTGCATTAGCTTTTCTGCTCTGAAAGAGAAACTCCTAAAGCAAACAGAACAATGCATAACTCTACCTCAGCTGCAATATGTGCACCTTCTCCCAGTCCAGGTCATTCTCTGAAATGAAGTCACACAATTTTACAGCTATCTTCATACAAAACAGACCAGTGCTACTTTAACTGAATTAAACTGGTATGAACAGTGGTGTTAAAATGAGTTTAAACAAAGCTTTAAAATCAATGTATTGCTATACAAAACTGTATTATAAACTATTATATTTATGTATCTGTATATATACATATAAACTAGTAGAGGCTATAATGCAGAAAAATACTCTGAGCTGTTTATTCTTCTAGTGCTGGCAATAATACATCATTCAGAGAACCTCAAAGGGGAAACAGACATAAGGCAAATACTTTAAGAAGTATTACCTGAAATTAGCTTTGGACTGAAGTCAGTAGAAGTTGTATTGGCTTGTTCGTATCCACATTATCACCGTATGATTATCACAGACCATGTCATCATTGTGCTACACATTACTAAACAACAGGAAGACAGTCCCTCTCCCAGATAAGACTGCATTCAATAGGCAATAGGAGCTGTGTGGGCACAGATGAGAAAACACAAGGGTAATGAGCCAAGGCTGCCCAGCACAACCTCTGCTGACCTAGCCACTCTGAAGTCTTTTCTTAAACTTGGTGCAAGAATTGGTTGTTTTCAATCTGTATTAGTACATAAAGCAGACCACCTTGACCTCAGCAGGGTCAAGGTAAGAGACTCTTATCAGTTCAAAGCTTTCACCCAACTCAGAAAGGATTAATGAGTCATTGTGTATTTAACATTATATGTGCAAGCATATTAGTTGGAAGTATCTTTACTAAAATGTATCAAAAGATAGGCAAACAAGATTTTACTAGCCAAGCTCAATCACATGCTGTCCCAAGCAATTTTCAGATGTCTTCAGCAAGGTAATTCTCATTTTTGTCTCCCTTATTTGTGAATTCTTGAAACTTTGAAAATAAAACACATTTGGTTTCTGACTCATTTGCACCAACCACTACATGACAAGAAGCTGGCAATTATTGAGCTGCTGAGGAGTTTTAGAAATACTGAACTATACGTCATAAATGAAAACTTCATTACAAAAAAAAAAATCAGGGTAAACCTTGCTTGGAGTCTTTTTCCTTAATCTTCAGAATTCTGACTGCTATCACCTTGCTTGGGAGCAGTTACCAGCATGGAGCAGTCTCTTGTTAATAAAAGCAAAGCCTTGTTGTTTGTTTGTTTTTTAAACTTTTCATTCCTCAGTGTTTCACACCAGTACTCTAACTTCAACCATATGAGAACCTTCTGCTCTTGGACAAATGAAAAAGGAAAATACAAGGAAAAGGATCAGAAAGTAGCCAAGGGATGTTGTTTGTATTAGAGACCAAAAAGAAAAGTCTTAAAGTCCTGTGGTAAGAGATAGCAATAGAAGGGAGGGAAACTTGGGAGGCATAACAAGGCAGGAAACATAGAATAAAGGGGCGGGGGGGGGGGGGGGGAAAGTAAACTTCCACCACTCACACCAGCCCTCATGACCATTTAATCCCTGGAGCCAAGAACACAAGAGACAGCATCTGAAAGGAGAAGGAGGGCTTATTTAACAATTTGCTACGTTAACAGGCTAACAAGAGACATAAGATTACGCTTGCTACCTGCAAGGTTCAGGTCACAGACGGAGAGTTTGCTTCTAAATCCTACCTCCTGCTTGGGAGGATTACAGCTGCTTCCTATGAAGACCAAAAATCTTAAATAAGCAAAAGCAGTGCACTCTCTCAAAGTCAGATTAAAAAAATACATAAATCCCTTAAGGCTTTTCAAGTTAACTCCTTGGTTTGTCAGAAGACACATCTGTTGTGCTACACAGGCTGTCAACAAACACTGCTGCAAGTGCATGGGTGTCATTTATTACTTTATTTCCATTTTATAGGCTATATTCATTTCAGCCTTGCTTACCTCAGTTATTAGGTTTGCATTAGTGCTTGTGCTGCTATCATTACAGCTGAATCAGCACTTCATGATGAAGTGAAGCAAACACTTCCTACCAGGTGAGGTGGTACTGTCCCTCCAAATCAAGCTGTGTCCTCCCATGCCTTATGATTATGGATATATCTGAAGGACCATGAAGTCTGTCCAATTCCCTCCCACACAGGTAAAGATTTCCAAGCCTGTAAATTTCTAACAACACAAAAAAACTCAGTCCCAACCTTCTACCAAAAAAAGCAGCAGGATATAACCAGTGGTTCCCTTCAAAGATGTAAGCAAAAGCTGGGGAGGAGGAAGCATCAGCAAAACAATCACAGCCCCCAGCTATAGGAAATGAAGTGCTACGTTTTAGGAATGGTTTGTTGTTTTTTTTGTTATTTTAACCCCTGTAATAACACCTAACCAGTTGTATGCTTCAGGGCTATGTTTTGTTACTTGGGGCATGTGTATATGTGTCTTTTAAAGACAGTTGTATACAACAGGGAATTGCTAGTGGTAAGGTTTCACACGTACTAGCTACAAAAAGCAATGCAGGTCCACAGCTTCAACTACCAGCAAAAAGTACACAGCCAAGAAAAAAAAAAAAAAAAAGATCTTTAGATCTCACACTGAAGGTTCATAACCTACTCAACATACAAGTCTTTGGTAGTGTTTACAGTTTAAGCACCTTCAAGTGACAGTCAGAAACCCACAGTATCTGGACGCATGGAGTTTTATTAAAAATTAAGAGATCAAAAGCAAGAGCAAAGTATGATGATGCCCAGCATCTTACTCAGATAGTATCATTGTCCAGGAGCCAGCAAACACCGGTAACCATGATGCCATACCTGAACCATACACCTGTACATACATTACAGTAAAATGTCGTATTTCAGTGAATGTATACAACTACAAAACAAAAAAGCAGAGAATAGAAAAAAACAAGTACATTTAGGGGATGTCACAAGTCATACACAAGCTGGTGCCAAAATTTCAGACAGAAATACACCCCGGATTTTAATGTCAGAGAGCATATTTTCCTTTGATGCTGCCTATGAGCTTTTGTTCTTCTTAGATCAAGGAAAGGCTTAGGTATTCCTGTCTAAATAGCATGGTTTTTTTAGGAAGTTTTCTTGAGGGAATTTGGATAGGGGAGTTTTGTAGGTTTTTTGTTTTAAAATAAAATCTTAAATATTTTGTTTCCCTTCAATGAAAATCTTTAAAAAACACAGAAAAGCATTCTTAACATTTAGAAAAGAAAAACGTATTAGTTGATTAGGTTGTATAGTCATTAAAGTGTGATGATATTTTCCACTGAGCAAAGAAATGGAACAATGAGATTTTCCTGTTTACGTTTCTGGCATAGTAGCAGTTTTCCACATTTTTTTTTTCTTTTAAGTAAATTCTGAACATAAGGAGGCAGCTTACATGAAACAGAAACTGGATTATCTTTCACGATGGTCAATTCTCTGCTTAATGCTTACAAGCGCTGGAGAAAAGGCAGACTTTGTGGTTTCCTTCATTTCAGGACACTGTGATGCACTTGTTCGTGCTCACAGCACACGTGTGCAGGTTTCTTCTGCAAAATTAACAGCAAATCTGTGGCTCTCGACTCCAAGGAAAGAGCTGGGGAAGCCAGGAGAGAATACTGTATTGCAGAATACAAAAGTTAGGTGCTCACAAAAGCACCAGGCTTGTATGTCTCATTTAAGCAAGGCTGTAAATTTCAATAGTGATGGCTGTGAACATTTCTATACACTTCAAGCATAAAATTATCATTAACCTGGATTTTTTAAGTTTCTAAAAATAAAACCTTCTCACTGAAATTTCCACTGAGTTACCAAATGGATCAGTATGCAAAATATCCACAATATAGTTAAGAAATTATGTTAAGTTACACATCTTAAAATAAAATACAGTGGTAGCTGTTCAGGGTTGTTCCCAGAATATAGCAGTATTTTGAAGCTCTAAGATTTCAATGTATTTCAATTTTAAGAGCCTTACAGTGGTGATAATTTAAGGCATAGTATGATCAAAATGATTTTATTATAGAAATACATTTCTGTAACACAATTAAATATATACTTATTTTGAAGGTCCTCCGTATCATCACAACCTTGAAATATAATCTCCCTCCCCATTAAAATTAAGCTTCCTACTTTACAAATACAGCTCTGTATATTTTAAATTAAAAAAAAAAAAAAAGATACTAAAATCTCTAGCCTTTGATGCAAACAATCCTGGCAGTGTGATGGCTACAGTATACAGTGCATGGCCTTGCAAAGGTGGAACGCACCTGAAATGTTTACAAATGCTATGTTGTTAAAATATCTTTCAAAGCTTCATTTCCCTTGATGAAATGAATGCTGATCACAAAAGCATTTGGAAAAAAATGAGTTAGCAGTACTTATTTAATGTAACTACTACTCCTACTCATTATGCATTTTGCCACAATCCCTTCTATGTTCTTAAAGACTTTGAATCTTCTGCCTCTGGACACACAGACCAGAAACCAATTTGCAACTGAAGAAAAAAAAAATCACTCCAATTTAATTCTCCCACATTACATTTTGATGAAGCCGAAGTCCTATTCCTTGTTTTAAGGCACTCCCAAGGGGAGTTCTTAGCAAAAGTTTCAGGGCAAAATATAGCCCATTTAAAAGAAAAACATCTTTGACATTTCAATGTAAACTGAACTGTTCACAGCAAAAGACTGTGTGTTGCTGCAGCCAGGAGGATCTGTGGACAGCAGAGCCCACTTATTCAGATGCCAAAGTCTACCTCAGCTTTACAAGTTCACTTATTAATTTTGGGCAACTTGAATTCCTACAGCAATAAACAGGCATCAGAGCACTCATATTTACAGAGGAGCAGCAGCAATAACTTCCTTGTTAATTGCTATATATAGCATTTTAGTTTGTCACTACCTCACCAAGGATTGAAGCAGAGCTCCTGTAAGGGCATGGGGAAGCGTGGCCAACACCAATTCATGGCTGCATCCTATCCATCGCAGAGAGGCCAAACTATCACACCATAACCAGCTGTCATCCTGTACCAGGTCACTCCTGATTAATCAATGTCACCCTTCTTCCAAGTAAATAATTTGTTTGCTCCTAATTGCACTCTAAAAAAGAAAAAGGCACCAGTTTAAAGAAGCATACAATCCACACAGTGTCAGCTTTGAAACTGGCACTGACCTATTTCAGTTCAGTTCTTAAAAGAAAAAAAAAAGCAAACTTCTAAAATCCTCTTAAAAATATACAGTTGCACCTAGGTAACAGATTTATAAGCAAACTTGTGAAGCAGAGTTTATCACAAAATAAAGAGTCTGATGTTGACAGTTACCAAGTGTTCAGTGCTTCCTATTGTGGCCAACAGGAGCTATGAAGCCTCAGTAACCTTCAGGGTATAACCAAAGTGATATAAATCATAAAAGTCCCTGAAAACAGGACAGAAGAGAGGAGGGGAAAAAGAGGGCAAGGAGAAAGCAAACAATTCTTCAACCTTCACAACATTACTATGAATGTATGACTACATAAAGAAATATTGCTGCAAATGGGGTTCAAAGAACTCCACTTGTACTGAACACTGCTGATTTCTTACTACAGTCATAACAGATAGGAAACCTGATATTCTGCATATTCTATATAGAGACTTTGGTTTTAGTGGATACTTTAAGGTACATATGGCCATCAAAACATTTTGGAAGGGGGCAAAGGAAACAAACTTCTATGAAGAGGGAGCTACAAAGCATTTTATTACTTTCTAAATATTTTGAATTAAAACTATTAAACTTTAGTTAAATTATGATGTCTAAAAAGACGATGTTATTTCTTGTATAGTACTCAGTCACATCTGGTGCCTGCCCCAGGTTCCAACAGAGCGCTGATTTCAGTAAGACCACTTGAAAAGCAAAGAAACACAAATTCCCTGAATGTAAAGTGAATAAAAACACAGAAGAAATAAGAGGATGGAGATGCCTCCAACCTGCAATGGCACATTCTAGCTCTCCTAGCCCCTGACATCACATACTGGCCTACTTCTGCCCCACTGGAGTTTCAGGAATAGCAACAAAGACAGAAACCTGTCCCATTTAGTCCTGCATTGTACTCCCTGGGGATTAAAGCACACTGATTTTGACAGGCAAAGTTGAGAGCACTGACCACCTAAAATCAAAGTGCACTGTCATATAAACAATGAAGTTACAAAGTTTACAGGGCCAAAACAAAAGACTTTATTAGCAAACAAGTAAAGATTCATCATCACTTGTATTGACTTCAGAGAGGGGGGTAGAGGACTCTAACATTGGCACTTCCACAGAATGGCAACAAGCCGCATGAATACCCAAAGGCTCCTCCCGATGAGAATTAGGGCAACACCGGTTTTGTCCTTCCACTTGGATATGAACATTCACAGGGCTGTCTGAATAAGCAGACTCCCACTTTTTTAAGGGTAACCTACATGGCTCTTCACTCAATGGTTGACTTCTACTTAAATTACTGCCTTCTGGGACAGTCCTCCTGGATGCTGACCCGCCATGGATCATTTCTGTAACACTTTCAGACAAAGGATCTCTGAAAGCCTTTCCTGAATCCACTTTACTGGGCTGCTTAAGCTCACTGCCAGAGGTCTCAGCACCTAAAGATTTATCAGCGTGTCCAGTCTCAGGCTCTGTGTGTACAGCTGTGCAAGTATTAGGTAAGACATTTGAAGGTGATGGCTCTGTGATTTCAGTCTCTGGCTGCAAGCTGCTACATCCAGCTTCTTGTAGGCCCCTGGCATGGCCATGGGCATCTGCCTGTAAATTAGGTCCCTCGGGTGAAGGTGGAGGACTCCTGGTAGTCCCTTCAGCATGGTTAATGATTCCATCACCCAGTGTAGTCTGTGAAGTGCGGGCAGGTGTCAGGAGTGGGATCTGTCCTCTCACCCGAGGTCTGTGGAAGAGTCTGTTCCAGAGACGGCCAAGGCGCCGCCGAGACGAGCTTCGTCTTGATGAGTGACGTCTCATCTGTCTCCTCATGGCTGTTCGGATGTTCTGCAGCACAGAGGCCTGTAACAAACAGAAACTGATTTCACACATACTCAGAAGACTTCTCCTAAAGCTTATTCACTAATATCTCCTTCTCACCAGAATTCTCAGGCTTGATCCACATGCATCCTGGTTAATTTTATATTTTAAATGAACCATTAACAGTGCTCTGCCTCTACCAAAACACTCTTCCTTAAAGAGTGTCCATAACGAGTTTAATCTTTACTTGTTTGCCTCAGCAAGATGCTCCACACCTGCTATCAGATCACCACCAAAGAACCAGACTACAGCCACCAAGTCCTCTGTCATCAGCAATAAGCAGAGGATTCTCAAAACCTGATGACAACAACAGAGAAGAGAGACTAACTCAAATACTTCTACAACTTAGTAACAAACTACAGGTGCACTAGGAACTGTACTATCTAGGAACTGAATCACAGTGGGTTACTTTTGACAAGGCGAAGAAGATTCTTGAGAAATCAGCAGTGAAATATAACGTAATGGTTTCCCAGTTTAATGTATTTCTAAGTGAAAAATAAGTGCAGAATTTCTCCAAAATACTGCTAGAGACCTACTTTCTTAACACTTCAGACAGTTTTACATTTTCAGCATGGAAAGCCTTTTCTTCTGTTGACTTTCTGACCTCCGTCTCTGGTTCATTCTTGATATACAGCAAAACATCATGTCCTTATCTCACTGCTGTTCCCTAGCAAACACATTTAATGTGTTCAAAACTACCCACAGCACCAAGATATAGAATCATGATTCTTCACCTCAAAGTAAAACACACATTTTTGTAAGAGCACTTCCATATAACGAGCATAGCTTCATTCCCATTCAAAGAAAACACTTGCAGGTCAATTCTGTCTAATTTATAGTAGTTTGGCTACTGCTAAATTATTTGGTACTCATGTCTCCATACTTGTGATGCATTGTACACGGGGAAGTCTTCAACTGGGGGGATGAGCCCTTGTGCAATCAGCTGCCCATAGGAAGGTGGAGCTTCTCGCCGCACAAACTCTGCTTCAAGTCGTGTCATCTGTGTCTCAAATGCTCTGGAAATGAAAACACAATGGGGAAAAAGAAAGAAGAGCAGTCAGTTTGTCCTGCCTCCCCTCACGTTAATGCACAGAAACAGCGCAGAGGGCTTCACAATAGCAGCTAAAAGGCAAACCTTTATCTGGGTTCTGTGACAATCTTATCAGGATGATAAAATAAACAAAAGGAATAGTGTTAACACTTTGGTACAGTCCCGGTTTGAAGTCTGTGGTAACTGAAGGTTTTCCATATTGGAAAACATACACCAGTAAAAGAGTTAACTTGTTCACTTACTCCAATAAAAGAGTTAACTTGTTCAGCTAGGACCCAAAGGTTATTTTTGGAAAATACAACATTTAGCACTGGAACAAGCACACAGAATGGGCAGGCCTGCAGCTGCAGACCTGTCGCTGTCCTGCCAGAACTGAGGTCCAGAGGTTCCCAACATAGCATGGTAGCTTTTTCCAGCTCCTTCATCAGCCACATTTGATCAGGAGAGAACAAAAAGCACACTGTGCTGAAAACACTGATGTTGTCAGGAGCATGGCACAAAGCTGGTGCATGTGCTGAGAGGCAGGCATCAGAAAGCCCCTTACGACTTTCTCCCGAAGGGCAAAACCACAGTTGCACAAACATACAAAACACGGGCACAGGCAGGGGAAGGAAATTTCTCAGAACAGTTTTGATTTGTCTTAGATTCAGGTTCTGCCAGGCTGCACTATGAACACAGATTTCCCATAGATGACAAAAGAGCTGATATTCCCCTACTTCTGAAAATCTTGACTATTCTTCTCTAAGCCTAATATGGTGACTACTACTTAATTGTCATCAATTTCTCAGATTTTCCAAATTCTCTGGTTAACAATTGACTTTCTTTCTTTGAAAGTAAAAAACAAACAAACAAACAAAAAAAACTCAGCTATTAAAGCATCATAAAAACAAGATGCTTACCTGTATTCCCTGGTCCTCAGAGAGTATAATTTAAATGCACAACCCAGTGCTATCACCAGCAGCAGGCCACAAACCAGACTCCCGATCAGAGCAGCTGTGATGACCTTCCTGGGAACTATCACCAGGCAGTTATGTTCGTCACTTCCATCCTGGCAGTCTTCTTGGCCATCACAGCGCCAAGTCTCAAAGATGCACAGATTTGTACCACAATGGAAGTTTCCTGGCTGGCAAGAAAAGCAGTTTTTTTCATCTGAGCCATCTGGGCAGTTCTTTTGGTTATTACAGCGGTCAAGTATTGAGTAGCAAAGCCCACTGTTTCCTTCACATGGGTACTCATTCTTCTGGCAAGCTGGACAGTTCTCCTCATCTTTGCCATTTGGACAGTGCCACCAGCCATCACAATGCTGCTTGTCCGTGAAACACTCCTCATCACTTCCACAGGGGTGTTCCCAAGGGAGGCAATAGCCTTTCACCTGATAGGTTGCATTGAACCCGTGACCAGTGCTCTTGGAGCGGGCATGATACGAGACAGTGAGCTGGCCCTTTGATGACTCCACGCTCACCGAATGTCTGTTGTTGTGATACGAAAATGTTTGCAATAATTTATCACCTCTCTCTCCAATGCCATCATACACCTTTACGTAGTCATTGTAGCCTAACTGTAAGTCAAACTGCAACAAAACATGCCGATTATCTTGTGTGTCCACGTACCATGTGCAACGAAGGTCTGACCTGCTGTGATCAGCACGGAATAAGTCTGGGGAAGCAAAAGATCCATAAAAATTACCCAGCCTTTTGCCACAGGAAAGATCAGGACAATTGTCTTCATCTGAACCATCACTGCAGTCCTTAACGGAATTACACCTCAGCTCATTCATCAAGCACTTGGTGGAGTGGGCTACGCTGCACTGGAATGTTCCTGAGGGACAGATGCTGGACGGAGGCTCTGTCGGAGGGACAGTGCAGTTCCTCTCATCTGAGTTATCCCCGCACTCATCCATGGAATTACACTTCCAAGTACTGGGAATACACTTTCCGTTTGCGCAGTGGAATTCATCTGACTGGCACACAGCCTGACCAATCTTTCCTGTGAAAGAAGACAAGGAAAAAAAAGTCAGTATCGAGACTTTTGGTATCATCTGATGTCACTTTTTAAAATCTACACCCGTGTGTCACAAATCAGTTGGTCAGGTCAGCAGCTTTTAACAGCATTCCTGAAGTCTAAGTGGAAAAATTAATGTTTCCTTGCTAACAGTCATCAAGATTGGCACGCAAATCTTGTTAACAAAAAACACTACTGTCTTCAAATTTTACCAGAGGGAGCACAAGTGAAGCCAACAAAACTGTAAGGTTTTACCTCTAATATAAGAAAGGCGAAATCCCTGAGCCTGTCCTGAGCTTGATGCATCTGAGTGAAAAAATATCCAAACATGATCCCTTGCAGAGATGAATGATGGAGGGATGGAAGATCCACACACTTTGTACTCCTCTCTCTTGGAAGATGGGCCAATCATCAGCCAGTCTACTGCACATTTCTGAGAGTCTTCCAAATCAAAATTCTTAAAACTGTTGGGAACAAAAGAAAACAAGTAACAAAATTTGGAACGACCTAAACAGAGAAAAAAAAAAAAAAAACAGACAGTAGCAATTGAGTTTCTGCACCAAGCTGACATAAAGAAATCACATTCAAACATAATGAAACACCTACAACATCTTGAGTACCTATAAACATAGCACTCAAATTCCCCCAGTCTGGAAAAGCACCCATCTCAATGGCATAAGCAGCATGCCATGTGGCTCCGAAAGCTGAAAGGATGAATCCTCTTCCACTCAGAGCCCTTAAACAAAACTGCTTCCTAAAACACCAATCCAAGTAAAAGCAGAAGTCCAAAATACATTGTATGGAAGGCAGACTAAATCATTTCATTTTTTTCTGACCTTAAAATCTATTAAACAACGGAATGAAATGGGAAACTACTGTCTTGGAAAAAGAGCAATAGGGAGCAGTACAAAGAACCCTAAGGGGACAAAGAAGTGAGTCAAAAATCAATTTTCCAAGCTGTGGTTAAGCAGGGAGAAGACAAGAAGAGATGAGGACAGCAAGCAGCGCAGATGGAACAAAGTCTCTCTAACACTACCATTATTTACAATTATTTCAGACAAAAATACTCCCTTTCTGGGAATGCAAATGCAGAGGGATTGAGCCTATAACCTTTCAGAGTCAAGCATCCACCTCTTCTGCTTACCCAAGCCCAATGGCTAATCAATAGCAGCTTACCTAGGGCAACAAGGTGCCCAACTGTTTGCAGAACACCGAACACAAACAAATAATGCTCCCTAACCTGTAGCTCAGGAACCACATGAGCTATTTGTTCAGTCTGATGGAACAGATTACATTTGCATTCAGTAATCTGCAATGGCAATAGCTTTGCACAGAGAAGCACAGCTCATTATAAAAGGGCAAACTGTTCAGGACACTTAGAAATGTATTTTGTTCCTTTCACCTAACTCAGCTACACACAATTAACTTAGTAGAAGTCTGTGCATACTTGGTACAAACACCTGGACAGAAAATCAGAAAGACTGAAAAGCTACTATGAAATAAGGATCTTCTTCCACAAAGGATTTCTCACAAACATAGAAGAGGAATTATTTGAAAAAGATAAACAGAAGATAATTTTCTGTTATCATGGGGTATGTACAAAAGGCTGTATATGCCTCCCAGATCTTGCTCTTTGATGGTGAACGGGAAAGAACAGCAACTGTGTGATCTAGGCAGTTCATTAATTCATTTAAGCAGGAGTTCCAGCCTACACACACCTGAAGGTTCTGCCAAAACATACCAACTTGAAAACTGCACAAAGAAAAGTTATCAGGATTAGAACGCCAAGTAAGAGAGCCCTGAAAGTGTTAAATTAAAAGATGTCCAACAACTTGTCAGACACAAATCTGTCCTTCCTCTTTGCTAACTCTTTTTCTTCCATCATGCTCTATGTACGTTCCCAACTTGGAAGAAATATTGCTTATACCAAAGTAGTAAGTACTGTGGCAATCTCATCAAGCTTTTGAAATCAGCAGATTTTGCAAGGAAGTTTTAGATGACAACAGTCAGAATAAAAGGATTGAATTATTCAACCACGTAAAAGTAAACTAAAGAACAACTCTGTCCCAGGCGTTCTGTAAAAGCTTCTTAATGACCAAGTGTACAAACTGGCACCACAGCATGAAAAGGAATTATACAAAGCAGCTGTGAAACTACTGCTTTACACTTCAAGTCTTTTGCAAGAGATTTGAGACAGCATTAATGAGCTACCACAGTGGTTTCACTTTCTTTAACTTATTTCGTTATCAAGAAGGGTTTCTATCATTCACTTGGAGAACTATTTGTAGGGTTTTCTTGTCATAAAGACTTTTTTGGCAAGTATTAGAAAAATCTATCTTCCCAACAAAATTTGTAAGTAAAGGGAACAGTCAGTCACTCACCAAATCAAGTAATGGAAACTCACAACTGGGTGGGTGGGGGAATAACCAGAAAAACTCATGCTTGTGCAAGACAAATAAGATCATTTACTACATCTTTTGATCTTCTATAGAGATTTCAGATGTACCAGGAACAACCTTACAGAGCTAAACAATTTGTCCTCCTACCCTGCCCAGCTCCCAGCACTCCTGCCAGGTCTCACAGCTCACTCATTTTCACCACTCTGCTGAAAAGAGCTACTTTTACTTTTTGCAGGTAAGTATCCATCAAACCCAGAGGAGAATTTGCCTATATAAGAAGTTGTTTGCATCTTAAAATGTGGGCCTTTTTCCTAGAACAAAAAGAAAAGGATTAGCACTTCTAAGATTCACGATAAGGAAGAAAAAAAAAGTCAGCTACACTGGCATGCCTTGTTCACAATCTCTTTTGCAAATGAGCAATATATCCGGAGAGCTTGTATTTGTAAATAATTAACAATACATCTGTTTGCACCTTGAGAACATCGTATTGTACACTGCTAATAAAGAAGAAGGACAGTTTATTACGAAGGGTGAGGAAGAGGTGAGTACGAAGAATAAACTTTCTAAAGTAAAAGCACAAGCATATAGAGGATAACTGATTTTCCTGAGCATCAGCTGTGGATCTGAGATTCAGAACAGAATCCCAAACTTCTCCATTCCGAAATCCAAGCTTTAGCCACAAAACCACCTGAGTACATAGGTGATGAGGTAGAATATACATGCAAGAAGGTAACATCTTTAACAGCCTCTCTGAAAACACCAACGCAGAGCAATGCATGAGTTACTGAAACAAATGTCTTGGTATTCAAAAAAACGGTGATACAAATTATTCACAAGAATGACTTTTTCCTAAAAGTTTCTAAAAGCACTTTTCTAAGGTGCTTACCTTAAACACAATGGTGCCTAGAAGTTAGAAACACTATTGAATAAATGCAATTTCTCTGAAATATGTTCTAGTTTCAATGTAAAGTTTTATATACAATAGATGCCATAGCAGTTACAAAATTTCTGAGGGCAAAAGCAAAGTCAAAACAATTGTTCTACTTCACACAGACTATAATCAAGAGACTTATTTGAACAAATTGTTCTTTGATTAAGGCATTGTGACTCTGTAACAATTTCTCACCAGCGTCCTTTTAAGTTATATTGTTGTCAATGGAAGCCAATTTTGCCCCGTCTAAATTAACGGTGATTTCATGCAAGTCCAAAAACATAATATATTTGAATGAGCCATCAACCAACCTCCCAAGAAAAAACACTCCTTTATGACAAAATATGAAACAACATGTATACAAATGAGTGCATGTAGAAATATAGCAAATTGGTTTTCACTTTATAACCCATTTGCAACAAGGTTTTGTGTCAGAAGTTTCTCCCATATTAATCTGACATTAAATAGCTCACTGATTTATTTTACCTATGAGTTCTGAATCATGCATTCAACCTCTGCTACTCCACTTCTTTCATCATCTGTAATTAGATCTAGTGCTGCTGTTACAGTCTCCTGAAGAATAATTTAATCCTGCTACCCACAAAATAGAGCACGGGAACATTTACTTATTCAGTTGAACTTTCTCAAACTGTAATGCAAATTTTTCTGCCAAAAGGATCAGCCCAGCAGTTGAATGATTGATGGTGTAGAGTAGAAGTAAGGGAGAAAATCTCTTCTGTACCTAATTCCTTTAAAAAAAAAATAATTGTATACAGAAGTACAAGAATAGTCCATTAAACATTGGGATTATTCAAACCCTGAGTATCAGAACAACTCAATGTGAACTGACAAATAGCACAATCTGCTTTTACAGAGTGGCAGAAATAGGTAAAATCATCTCATTTCTCTTTCAGTGGTATGTTACTGAAAAAAGGTTACCTCCCACACTGAGCAGGACTCCAGGAACTTACAGTGAATTACAGGACCGGTTGCATATCAGATCTGACCTACAAATATACTCAAATGCAGCAACAGTAGCCTACAATTATATTTTCATATTAACTGTCAAGTATTTGTACATTTCTGGAAAGAATTTCACTAAACCAACTTATCATAAATAGTCGTTTATGCTCTGTAAGAAAGAAAAAAAGCACGTCACCTGCCAAACTAACGCTACACAAAGCTACGCTTTTTTTGCCATCTACACTAAAAGGAGCAATAGCAGCTAGAAAAAGGAAAGTACTTCTATAAATAATGCAAGGAATTTCCTACAACTCTTAGTAATTTAAGCATGAGCAACTACAGATTAAAGCTGGGAAAAAAAGTACTCTTAACTGTAAAAAGACACACATGGGATGACCATAAATATGAACAAAAAACTGTAAACTGCTGAAGGCTCAGCAGATGTAAAATCTGAATGAAAGTAGAAACAAGAAAGAAGTCCGATTTGGCCCTCTGAACTCATTAAAAAATTGGAGAATAAATATTATGGGTAGATCAGTAGAGCACAGTCCCAAAATAAAACAGACTGGCCAATTAAGCAAGAAAAGTTACTTCTATTTGCCAACCTCTCACAGCAAGTGCAGACTGTGAACAACTGATGACTTAATTGGCTCATTAAAAACTTCTGCTTAACCACTGAAGCACAAGGCCCTGGAAGTCAGGAAAGCTCTATTCTGCTCCCCACTCCCAAGCACCAATCGTGTAACCTCGGGCAGGAGACACGGGCTGTTTTTCTTCAAAAAGCTGAGCCCATGCAACTTAATTAAATACATGGCTGTCATGAGTTTTTCCCACTAATGTCAAACTCTGAAACACTGTGGGTTCAGTAAGTAAAATACAAAGCAGTCCCTTGAATTCATCGCATAAATACAGACCATCGAGCCTTTACAAGTACAGGCCCTGGTTTTACTCAGAATCTGAAGCTCAGATGGTATTTTTTCCAAAGCCAATGATGCAAATCACTGAATTGAAAGCAGCAAAGGTGATCTCCCCCCTCAATTACTAAGAAACAGCTTGAGTGGGTCACTAAGTAGATCACCTCTCATTACTCTTACCCTGAATTCTGAACATGGAGCACATTTTACTCTCAGTCCCATAAATTTCTATAATAAAAAGCAATTCACTTATACTGTGCCCACATCTGTGCTAATTGCAAGAATCAAATGCTAAACAAAACCAATCCTTTTCTCAGATATGAGGAAACATATACATATAAAGCCTGTAAAGGACGGTCCGAAAAGGTAGTTATTGCACATGGTATGTTTGTCTCATCTTACATGATTTTATGTAGTCCCCTGTGAAAATAAGACCTAAAACTAGAGAAAATTAGATAAAAATTGAGCAGTTTCCAAAACAGTAGCTAGTAGACTGTTTACCTGAATATAAAGTGACACAATATAATGCTAAAAATAGTAGCTACACGCTAATTCTCTGATCTCTACAGCATGATTCCATCAAACACACACACTTGGAAGAAAGTAGGGAAACGTGCAGAATTAACAGAGATAAAAACAAGAGAAAATATATTTCCTGTTCCTGTGAAGACTCTCCCAAGGATTCAAAAAAAGTAAACTATAAAGCAAAACAGTAAGCATGGAAATGTGAGGATATGAAGAAAATCAATACAAACATGAAAGGCAGATATTAACTAAGCTTCTAAAGGACACATGTCCGCAGATGACAGCGTCTTACATCCACATCTAGATCTGGGTACTGTTCTATTAAAAGCTGCTGAATAACAGGTTTATAAAAAATGACCACTGACTGCAAATGTTTTAGAAATCACAACTACTTTCAGCTGCAATTTTATCTCTTAGTGACTCCTGCTGTATCCCAAATATGCTGCTTATATAACATTGCTGTCTTACCGTCAATGAGAATTCAAGATCAAGGGAAATGCATTCAGTATAACACAACACAAAAGGCGGTAGCTTGCTTTTTTTGCTTTTTTATTATTTTTAAACAACCTGTCAAAATGCAGATCTTATCACATGAAATGTGTTTGGTTTTCCTAGGAAAATTAGAAAAGCTACTCTTTTATGCTCCTATCAGCACACTGCTATGACAAGAAGCATAGCATTCCCCAAGAGGAAAAAAATATTTGCATTTGAACCCTGTTTCCCAGTTTGCCTGTATCATGCTAGCTTAGGGAAGTCAGCTCCTGCTTTTACGTCCTTGGCGTTATGAGGGCTATATCCTTCTAAAGAAATCCTCAGATGCTCTAACGTTTTGCATTTCATATACTGGAGTGAGTCATTCCAAGTACATTTATAGTCAGAAACGTAGCACTACAACACGTCTGCTACCCACAAGGCAAACTACTCCCTAGGATGTAAACACATAGCTCCCATTGTTTGCTTGTGCATATGAGGGCAGGATATGGCTGTGTATCCACTGACAGAAAACAAACCCATTAAAAAGAAATCTTTCAAAACTATATTGCTTTTGCACACATTCAAACTGTGTATGCTTTATTACCAGTTTCCTCATCTTGCTTTCCTTCAATTTTTTTAGCTTCTACCACATCCACACTTGCAGAAGAGAATCCTAATTCTAACTGGGAGCTATGAGACGTTGTCATAGCATAAAATGCAGTACTATTCTCCAGAGCCAAGTCCTGTGTCTCATTTGTATGCTTCCTCAGAGCTTCCAACAATCTCTGCTTTGAAACAAATTCCCCAAGTCCAATACAATTTAATGGGGTTTAAAAGCGTGTTTCTATTTATGGATCTCAAATGCTGGCAGGTATCTACTTCCTTACTTTTGATGAGTAGTTCCTATTTTGAACTACGGATGGTGGAGCCCTCCTATTATTCCATCTGTGGCAGATTTGTTTTTAATTGCTGAGCATCTGCAGTTGAAGAGGTTTGCAGTCCTTTTAAGCAGCTGAGCAAAGAATGAGCAGATGGTGTCAAATACAACAGTACTAAAAAAAAATCAAACAAAAAACCTTTCCTAGTTATGTTTTTTTTTTTTAATAAGCCATTCTTGGTTTGAGAAGGATACTACAATTAGCCCAATGAAACTAAACAAATTCACACTATGCTTATATTATAGCCTAAAAATTCTTAACAAACCATTTGTAACACATTCTAATCTTTTCTGAGCAGCATTTTTATAGAAAGGGCTGAAATTGTGCCACCAATGTTAACTATTATTTAATTCTGTTGGAAATAAATATTAAGCAAAAAAGCATGTGTCTTCTGATTAACAAGTAACAATAAGTAATGATTATTTTCATCTGACAATTAAATACAGTGGCATTTCAAGACATTACAGAAAAGGCCATTTTTTGCTCTAAGAACCTTAAATATCCCAAGGAACTAAGATTCTTAATACCACACCCCGCTGAGGCTGCTCCAGATTTCATAGCCTTCACCTATTCCTATTTATAGGCAATGAAGAGAAAGCTGACTACTTAATGTGAGTAAATATATCACTGTTTCCCATCTCCTCATCTATCAGAGGTGGATGAAATCTCACACAGGTATTGTGCAGATAAATAAATTAGAAGACTACGAATGACTTGCATATATAATAATGGATGTCAGGAGTAACCTACAGAAACAAGATAGTGGAGCATTTCTGAAATGGAGGTGCTCAACGTACAACCATGCTCCAGTGTAATCAAGTACAGCTTCCATCCTTCAAGCATTCAGTAGCTCTGACAAACACTCTGATATTGGTGTATCAGATAAGAACTCACGCTGTTTCATTTCAGCAAAGCGATCTGTTATCCATACAGAATATCACAAAACATACCTGATTGTTATCATGTCTCCTCGATCTCCTTGAATGTACCAGCTGCAGTTTACACCTGGAGGATAGTTTAGTGGCCAGGAAGGACTATAAATGACTCCCCGTCTCTCTGTGTGCTGTTCAAGTTCTCCACTGCAAGCAGCTGTTAATAAGGAGGAAAAAATATTATTAATGCTTCACCTAATCAACAACTCCCATTACTACAAGAGCTTTCATCAATTTCTGGGGATTGCAGACAAATGAGAGTCAATAGTTTCATCCTTTTACTACTTTCTTCCCTGCCCCAATTTTTAATTAAGACACCCACTTGAAGCACAGGTAAGCATAACCTGCATTTCAATGCAAGATCAATCAATAACCTTGTGTGAATCTACCAAAGGCTAAAATCAATATTACTGCATGGATCTGCCAAGAGGATGTAACACAGAAATCCTTCTAACCAGCTCCCAAAAGCCTGGGTATGACACTCACCAACTGGAGAAGATCCACAGTCGGTGTAAATACCTAGAAGCTCCTTTTCCTATAGCCTGTTCCTGGCAGCATCATTCATTCTCATAGCAGACAGACCCAAAGACTTTGTAATGGTTAAAAAAATCCCCAGCAAAAGAAGAAAAAGTGTAAACTCGACTCTGACGTCAAATGTTTTCATTGAGAATTCCTCAGTACTCTAAATTCTTTCTGAACTCCCACAGATAGCAGAAGTTTTCCAGACAGGGAAAGTAGCAAAAAGGGCTAAATAAAGCTCTATATTTTCAAAGTCCTTTCAGATCTTCCTATGGAAAAGAGCAGACCAATTAAAGCTACATCAAATACTAATAATTTGTAATTAAGCAATTCAAAATGAAAGTGAAATGTTCCAAGGACAAGAGGGAAAGCTCTTCTGCTGGGAAGATGTACTCTCAGTAGACTACAAGCGGGGAAATTCTGTGTAATGCAATAGCTATTCTGAACCTTCTCCAAATATATTTTTAAAACTATTTTTAAATCAAATGACTATCTAGAGCATGACTTGTGGATTGCAGCATAATATTCCAATTTTTGACAAGTTCCATTTCTCACAAATGTAAAAGGTGCCAACAAAGAAAAGGATGCCTACACCTGAAGTTCCCTCAGGCACACACACGTCGTGTTTGAGGACACACAACACAGAGAACACACCACGCCACAAATCAGAGACTCACAGCATTGCTAAAAATTCAGCCACAAACACATCATTTTTGATCCACAGCCAGGACCAGGATCAGCTGCCCTGGAGGGATGGGGTGAAGCTGTGCTGGCAGAGCCGCTCGGCTGCAGTGGAGGCAGGTGCAGGGCTGCCTGCAGAGCGCCCAGCTGGGGATGGGGCCAGGGCCCGGCTGCAGCATCCCCCCTGGTAAAGCCGTGCCTGGCACTATTCTGTTTGTTCACAGTAAGCACTTTTGAAGTGAGAGCCACAGGAATATAAAAAGCATGAGGTGAGTAATCTACCTGAGGCAAAAGATATGAAAAGCCATTATTTTCACCCTCCAAGCAGGGCATTCCACTGAAACGTATGTACATAATTCCTCCTAGTTTCAAAGACCACAGAAACTTACAGAATACATAGACACAAGTAAACAGCTATTTTCCAAACAAATATTTTGCAGTAAAGCACTTACAAAAATACAAGAAAATCTTTGTTAGCACATTTCTAAAACCAGAGAGGCTCCACACTAGACACTGACAAAATACAAAGATGCAATTACAGAATTATAAAAGCAAATCTAAGATCCATGGGATTTTTCAACTACCATTCTTGATCTGTTTCATTACACACACCACATCAGCCTACTCAGGCCTTTAAATGTGCTCCTCCAAACACTTGTCACTGCATAAACATATCGTAGCAGCATGTGAGGACCTAGAGCTAGCAACCACATAAAGGAGCTGGAAGACTGCATTTCATAACTGCCAGCTTACCAGAACTTCTCAATGGGAAGGAGACGGTATGCACAAAGCCAACAGAACAAACACACCACGCAGCACTATATCCAAAGGCTTCCAGCACAGCTTTGCAAATATTTCTGTTCCCCTTGTACCAACCACTGCTCTGGATTAATAGCCTGTGCTGACAGTGTATGCATCAGAGCAGAGAACAAAACCAAGAGCTACACAAAGCTCATTTTAGCTTCTGTCTGAGAAGGTGCCATCGACACACTGGTGACTCCACACAAGCACCTTCACTCACATTCATCACTGCAGTTTAGCAGAGCCTTTATTTCCTAAATACTTGCTCCTTGGCTCTAGAAGGCATTTACAAAGACCAACAGTTATTTGACACATCCCAGATTTTCTTAAGGAATGTCACGAGCAGCTTTTTCTTTTGCAGCAATGCACAGTTCCCTAATTCCTAAGCGGTGGATCTGATGCAACATGACAGTTTCTCAGTGAGAAACACTTTTTCTTACTAACTCTGCACATCTGCTACAAACATGGGACATGAAAAGAAGAACAGATAAAGCAAAAAGATTTTCCATTTTAACAGCAGCATTGTAGCTGTGAAAATCTACAGCCATGAGCATGGTGAGGGCTGCACTCACACCACTTCGGGCAGTTCATCCGGCAGTGGTTGTTGTTACTCAATATCTTCTCATGGTTTTACCCTTCCGACACACAAGCATTTCAGACTCACCCTGCACAAAATTAAAAGGACAACTGTTTTGCTCCCACGAAGACTCCTCATTTGAATGGACCACTAACCTTAATTCACACTGCCAAAACATACTCACACTACTTTAAGGATGCGTGCATAGTCCCCTGAACCTACTGGGACGAACCAGGGAGGGGAAACACACAGAGAACTACTATTCTGTCTACGCAAACCTCACTTCATTTGCCATATGCCTTTGACGCCTCTCATTTCCCATCAATGCTCATCACTACAGCATTTGCAATAGATCAATAGATCTCCTTCCTAACAAGTTGTCTCTGCCTCTTTCCTCCTTGTGTGCAGACTGCTGTGTGGTAGACAAGGTGAAGCATTCGCACGCTGCTTTAGAGCAGCTGTTCTTTCACCTACGTAAGTGACAAGTTTATTTTGAAAGAAAAACCTGCACTAAACAAAGCCTTCAGTGCCGGCACGAAAACAGAAAAACCACAAGGGCACATTTTCATACTGTTGGGGTTTCAGTGTCAATGCAGGAGCCTCAATTCCCTTCTCAGTTCCTGGCCACGAAGCACAGAGAACCACATACCTGCGTGAACTATTGTGTTAGTACGCTGGGCTTCAGCATGACAGTGGGATACCTTAAGGGAACTGAACAAAAGTCTTTTCAAACTGCCAAAACATCTAAAGGAAAAGGGAAGTCTCTAAATAGAAAGGCACTCTCCTGGATTCGGAAGGTCTTATCAGTGGCAATGCACAACAAGAACAGTGACAACTTTTTTGCAACAAATGTTTGTGTCTTTATGCACAAACCTAGAAACAAACTGAAAACCCAGATTACAGAAAGCCCAAAACAGCTCATGTTTTCCACGTTCTGGAGTATTGAAAAAGCATAGTGCAAGAAAATACCAATCCCTGGACACACAAACCAACTCACCAAAATCTTACTGAGGTGGTTTTTAAAAATATATGTATTCTGAAGACAAACAACAATGAATCTTTTATAGATTTAAAAAAAACAAAAAAAAAAAAAACAACCTTTCAATGCCAGAAGAGGTTTGAGTTCAGAGTTTCCGTCAGGCAGACATAAATCTTAATGAGGCTCTTTCTGTAATGATTAAATGGATTTCTTATACTGTAAACAGCAGTAAATTCCCCCTGCTAGTTAAATATGCCACTAATTCTTGCTACTAAAAACTTCCAAGAAAGTTTCCATAACATTACATGAATAACATCGCTCTTATTTTTTGCAAAAGCAACTATAACAGAACAGACGTTGAACTCCACCAGAGGACAGCACAGTTTGTGCTGGGGTTACTAAGCTGAGCAGGAATAAATTTTCAGATGACCCCAGCAGAAAATAAATCCTGCCGTTTTGCACCCTTCTGTGACGGCCCAGGGTCTGCCCCAGTCACAGATGACACAGCCCAACCATCTGCTCCAGGATAAGGGATGGTTTGCACCTGCCACAAGGAACCTTCTCTGAAAAATTAACATTTGGCAACAAACGCCTCCTTGGTAGCTGCCTCAAGGCTGGCAGAAAACACTCCCCAAGTTCTCTGAGTCCTCCCTCAAGGAGTGCTTGCACATGATGCTTAACACAGCCCCCTTTCACCTGTGGACAGAAAGGCCTGAAGGAAGACTCCCCTTCGTTCATCCAGTCTCACAGCCGGCTGCTGCTGGCCCCGGGCCCGGAACCAGCGAAGGCAAAGCCCGAGGGTTCAACTCGCTGGTCTGACAAAACCCGAGCAGGCGCTCTGCTGGTCCTACAGGCTCAGCTGGCTCACCTTGAGCTCGGGGAGGGGGACGCAGTGGGAGGGCTGCTCCCTTCCAGCGGCAGCAGCGGCTTTAATGGCTGGAAGTCATTGTACAATGCAGCTGAGATGGTGGCTCGGCCCGTGCTCTGCAGAACTCATTACTGCTGCTATTACTAGCTTTCTGAAGAGAAACGTTGCTATGCCTTACTCTAGAGATCAAATCTGTAATAGCTGCTTCGTCAGGGCACGTTTAGGACAGCAAATATCCCTCCCCACTTTTATCAGGACTCCTGAGGAACACCAAGAGGATTCCCAACAGGGTTATCTGCCTTATAGCTGCACCATCCTAACCCGTTATCCTCCACCACACAGGTAAGAGAAGCTGGACATGAATCACATCACACTGTTGCAACGACCTTTTATGATCATTTTTCACCGTGCTCCAGTTACACTGCCAAGAGACAGAGTAACTCAAAGCTGTATCAGGACAAGAAAACATGAAGGCTACAGTACTCTAAGGTTTTCCTATACTTAAAAGAATAAAAGGGAAACGTTACAACTCTGTTTCTAGCAAAAGAACAGCATTAGAAAGCATTAGTGCCCACTGAATGAAGTGTTACGGATTTCAGGTTGAGGTAGGATCACCAGCCTAGGTCAGACACTGTGTAATTACTCAAGTTACACTTCATAAACCCATATACCACGCAGCCAAGGGATGCCAAATGCCATGCAAAGCAAAGAACAATTCAGGCAGAATGGACTGGGACACAGGTCACATTCTGGACTTCTTCCAATGAAGGAATGGAAATACAGTGTTGCAAACAATAAATGTCCTATGTGGTGCATCAAGCTCCCCCCAAGCTAAGCCTAAGGAAGTCACCTACTCACAAAATTACTACCCTTTCCCGATTTAAATCTTCTCTCAAACCCCCATGTTGACTGGCATGCTCCAATTCCCACATCAATCAAACCACTGCCTTACAATTATTTTTGTTTTCCCATTTCATTTCCTCCTATTTCCCATATTTGGTTATTCTGTTTTAATTTAAGTCACAACCTCTTTGGGTATAAAGTACATCTAACAACGTGACTGTGGATTGACAGGCACAAGAGGGCCCTTATCACTAAGATGACCCTGACTGTAATGCACCAGTTATGTCAGCAAGCCCCTGTACTGCTATGGAGAAGAAAATTACACTCAGTGCCATGATTCTGGCTGAATTTCCACTCTGAGATGAGACATTTTTAACATTCTGGTTTTAGCTCCTCAGGGAATGGGCCACTGTCCCCAGCTTGATATTCCCAGGCACGTTTCCTAAACACAGATTTTTCCCTAAACAAATCAGCACGTACTGTGACCTTAGCCTCAAGCTTAAGAGTTTTTTCTAGCATGGTGACACCGATGGAGTCCAATAACCAGTCCAGCAAGACTTCAAAGTTCTGAGCTTCCTAAAACGTCACTGTTACTCTCTCTCAAACAAAGGTCATACTGTTTTGTTTAAAGGCCTCTTAACATGGCAAAGAAACAGTTACAACTTCAAAAGAACAATAAACACAAATAAGAAAAGTATGTCTTACCTAATGAGGTAACAGCACTCTCTATTTTCCCAGTCAAGAAGAGATTCACTGTGTAAAGACAGAAAAATAATGTTATAAAGGTTCCAGTGGCACAGGGTGGCAGTTAGTAGTCAACCATTTCTAAGTGTTTGCTGCAGCGTTAATACAAATATATTGCAGTCTTCCAAAAAGAACGTAGCTTATCTACACTGAAAATTCACATAAATCAACTCCTATCCTTCACTGTGGCTATAAAAAGGCAACACACAATGTTAGTTTAGTACCCGTCAAATATGTTACCAACAGAAACAACTGCCAATCCTCTCTCTTGTCTTCTGTGGAATTGTTTTGGTTTTTTTTTGAATTGGGTAAGACAGAAGAACAATTACACTAAAACATTCATAATCACAGCTAGTCGCTTTACCTGCTTAAATGCTGGAAAATAATTAACGAGCTTGTTACCTTTAAATACATCCCCTCTGAATAAAGCAAAGTTTGTTCCTCTTAGGTAAATGTCACCTTGAAAATAAGCTGAAAAAGCTAATATGATTAACTTGTCTAATCAACAGCAATAAAGTTTTCAAAAAGGTCCACTGGCAAAATCAAAATAGGATAAGGTGGTGCTTACAGCGCACATCTGACTTACAAATTAGTCTCTAAATACTCTTTCCTCTGATGTCTCCTCTCACAATATATATATCATCAGAGCGATCTGATAAGAGGGGCTACTGCCAAATTTTTTTTTTTCAGTATTAAGATGTACTTCCATAGAGTTTCCCCATATATTCTTCAAGGCACTTCTCTAATGATTACAGTGCACTTCACTAACTGCTCTCATCACAGCAGCGTTCCATAATCTATACAGACAGCTTATTAATAACATGACAAACATTAAAGCAAATTAGAAAGGTTTAAAAGGTTACCAAAACTTAATTCACAACATCTCAGCCAGGCACACCCTTTGGCTTTATTTTGCATGTGTTAAGTCCTAAATCCTTCTATAGCTGATCTGTCAGCAAGCATTTAGGAAAAAAAAAAAAATCATTAAAAAATGAACAATAGGAGAAACTAGGAACAGAAACTGGCCCTGTTTCCAACAGTCAATGGGAAGCTACTGGCAATTAATACTATTTATGTACCAGAGCAGCATGCCTGAATACAGGCCCCATTGTCTTAGACACTGCCCAAACATCACAAGACAATGAGCCTTGCTCCGACCACCTTCTGGTAGGACTTAAACCAGCACGGGAGAAAGGCAGTACCTAGCGCTCAAGGGCTGGAAGTGGAAAAGCTAAAACCAACCCTCAGCTTGCCACTGCGAGTTGTCCTGGCACAGCTTTCACTCCCTTGTGGACTCGCTCTGTTAGCAAATTCCAGCAGCTGAGATGCCTACAGCACTTGTGCCATGGCTTACACCTGGATGTCCACAATTGTTTCTTTCCAAAGCCAGAGCTCCAAGAGCCCCATGCAGGCAGGGTCTTCCCAGGCATGCAGACTGCTGCACACCTCAGCCGAGGCCAGGCCCTACGCAGCAGAGAACAACTGCTCCCAGCACCGCCGTTCACAGAGGAACAACGTTACTGACAAGGGGGCATCACCACAAATGCAAGGGGAGCTCCTTCTAAACAGCTGCAGGATGGAGGAGCTTTTTAGCAGCACACAAGGGAAGGACAGCAGCTGAACAACAGCATGTGTATGCTGTGGCTTGAGAAGAACCAGGCTCAAGCTGCAGATTTGTGCTAATAAGCGTTAACACTATGTTCAAAGGACCTTAATAGCACTGATTTTATTACATAATTAATGCACAGCAACATTTGTTACACGATCATGACAACGTGCTATGTAATTATTTTCTTTGTTTCGCAGCGCCAGCTCGCTCCGGCAGGTCAGCGAGCGCACCTAGGAGCGATCCCCGGCCCTGTCCCGGGTTTCTGCTCCCTGACAAAGCTGCGAGTCCGCACGTGACAGACCTGGGATCGCAGCAGTAACAGCAACACACAGCTTCCTCACGCGGTATTAAAGCACCGCTACTCCTGTAACCATAGTAATTTAGTCATAAAGGCTGAGAATAAATTAACCAGTGGTTAAGTCGCTAATTTGATTTTATGAAAATTAAAATATTTTGCTCCAAAGAAGGTAAAGGAATACACTCGGCAGAACTGTTAACAGGCAGGACTGAAGGGACTGTGTGAGAGGCATGGGAATGCCAGGGGCTGTTAGTGGCACCCTGCAGCCTTTCCACGTTTCCTACCCGAACCTCCACCAAGGTAACAGAACACAAGCTCCCAAGCAGAGGCTCCCTCACAAGCCTGACCAAGGCCGCCACTGCCCTTTAAATGGAAATAAGCAGCATGAAGACAAGGGCCTGACAGAGCGGAACCAGATGACTCAGAGCCATGGTACTTTCTTCTGAGCACCGTTAAACAAGCAGCTCTGGTTTACCACCAGCAAGACAGAGTTACAGGCAGCACTGCGCACCAGGCCTGGCACATGACTAAAAAAAGACACCCCTCAGAAACGCTCTTTCACCTATGCAAATACAAAACATCTACTGGCTGTCACTGCAAGTTTCCTTCCATTTTCAAGTTCCTTTACACTAAGGAGCCAGCAGTCAAGAATAGTTCTTCAGAATAAAGGTCTTTCACATCAGGTACTTTCCCCAACATCTGCTTTCCTCACTCTCGGTCTCACTCAAGACCATCTACTCAAACTGCACGAGCACTGTAACCAGCATCTTCTGAAGCTCTCCAAGGCCCAAAAGAAAGAACAGCCATTCCCTGCTGGTTTTCTCACCTCTTGCTGAATCAAAATCCCATCAATACAAAACCAGTGAGAGACATGGGGTATGCCACAAAGTTTTCTAGGTGCTCTTTTTCATAACAGTTTGGTAGAATTATGGGAAAGCCAGACAAGAACAAAAGCACTTCAGCTGGCTTGAGCTCCACATAGGAAACTAACTGTGCTGTTCATTTGGATTGCTAAGTAATTGTCAGGGCAAAGTTTTCAGCTGGGAAAGCAGTTAATTTGTACCAGAAGAGAAATTTGCATCTTGGCACCTCTGAACAAAACGTCAGCTACCTGTCTTTTCCCACAAGCAGAAGGAGAGACATTGACGCTGGTGTTTTGATCATTTCCCTGTTAGGTAACTTTCTATGCCCTCCAGAATTTCTCAAGAATGAGAAATGAAATGGCCTTACGGAAGAACAGTTGCAACAAACCCAGTTCCAGTGTCTGGAGCAGCGGTGTACAGCTGAGGTCACACATAGCAATGGTCAGTGGCAGCGCATTTATGCAGACACCAAACTGCACATAAAGCCTCCGGGAGAACAAAAAGTAAAAGTAAAGCGGGGCTGAAGAAGCAAGAAAGCAGGAACTGAAAGTAAAGTAAAAAAAAAAAAAAAAAAAAAAAAAAAAAGTAAAGATGACTGGAAGGGACAGACAAGCAGGAAGTAAAACACAACATAGTTAAAGCAGCAGCATTATATTCTAAGGTTTGGCTGAAGCAGAATACCTGACAAGCTTCCCACCTCTCATGTTTCTCAACTTCCACTACTGTCAGTTGTGCAAGGAATAGGAATAGGAATAAAGCATTCCAGCTGAAAAGAAGAGCCAGACAGTGAAATTCTAAAAGTCATAGAAAGCAGAAATCTAGCAAACTTTCAACTGCACATTACCCACTGCTAAGTACAAGAAGCGCTCTCTCACTCAAACTCTAGAATTCACATGATCTTCAATAATCATATCTTATTCATTTTTAGAACAATTGTGCTATTCCTGTTAAATAACAAAATCTTTAACAAAGGTCTGACCGGGCCACAAGAAAGAAAAGTCACCCAAGACATTCAGAGAACTGGCTGAAACTTTTATCTTTCCTTTAACTTTGCATAAACAGTACAGCAGGCATTACCCTCATGCTGCACACACTTCTGACATCCCTTTAAGCCTCTGCAGAAAAGTAACAGCAGCTACAGCCCCTGTTCAAACTTAGTAGTTCAGATAGCTTTTTAGGTTGCACTTCCGTTAGTCAAAATAGATATATTTGAAGTAACCAGAACAGCTTTTAACTTTCTGCCTTTTCCGAGGCAAGCACTGATGTCAAAGAGAACTTGTACGAGACCAGAGTGAGCAGCCCAGCCACGGACACCCGTTTCTGATGGTTTACATAAGGGACACCACCACCTATCCTGGGGATTACTACAAACGAACTTTATCTGCTTTCTTAGCAAACAGCAGTGGGTTTCGCACATCTTTCTCCACGAGCCGTAGCAGTTTGTCGGAGCCAGCAGCCGGCAGAGCCGCAGGCAGCCCCGGCCCCGCTGCGCTTCAGCAGAACCTGGGGCAGGAGCGGAGCGCTCCAGCAGCTCCCGCTTCGTGCCCGGCCCTGGTGCCTCCGGGCGGCCTCTCGGCTGCTTCCAGCCGCAGGCTTCAACGCTTCCAGCCTAGGAACGACCCCCCCGGGTGCCGGCAGGGGCTGCCAGCCCGGGAGCCGTCTGCCCGCGCCGCCGCTCGCCACCTGCTCGGCGGGGAGCGCTGCGAGCAGCCGGGAGGGCAGGAGGGGAGCGGAGCGCGGCAGGGGGCGAGGGCAATACCGCCTTGCTGCGGTGCCAGCCTGCGGGAGGCACCGGCGCAGCCTAAACTTTTTGGGTATTTTTTTCTGAAGCGCCGTGCGGGGCTCCGCGGCCGAGAGCACGGGGCAGGCTCCCCCCGCCGGGAGGGACCCGAGTCCCTGCGGGGAGCGGGGACGCGGACACGGGGAGGGGGACAGGCAGACACGACCCCCTGTGCTCCCCGCACCCCGCAGGTGCCGGCTGCCCCCAGCGCCCCGCTGCCGGCCCTGCCCCGCCGCTGACTCGCTCCCTCCCTCCCTCCCTCACTCACCCAGGCAGATGGCGGTGAGCGGCACCAGCGCGCCCTGCCGGAGCTCCGCGGCCGCTGCCTTCTCCATGGCGGGTCGCCGCCTGCCTGCCTGCCCTTCAGCGCGGCGGGGAGCGGGGAGAGGGAGGGGGGGGGGGGGAACCGCGGCAGCTCCGCTCCCTCCTCTCCTCTCCTCTACGCCGAGCCGCCGGCGGGGCCGGCCCACCGCGCCGCCCGGGGAGCCGGCAGTGGGGCGGGCGCCTCCCGCCGCAGCCCCATGGCCGCGGCCGGCGCTGCGGGGCAGGTGGAGGAGGACGGACCGCAGCGGCAGCGCCGCCGCCCCACGTGACGGGCCCGCCGGGAGGCGGCGGCGGTAACGGCGGCCGGGCCGGAGGGCTCGGGGAGCGCTGCGCTGAGCTGCACCGCCCCGCTCCGCTCCGCTCTGCCCCGCTCCGCTCCGCGCACACCTGAGGGGCCGCCGGCAGGCGGAGCGCGGCCCGCGGCGGAAGGGAAGGCGAGGGCCGAGCCCGCCCGCGCAGCGCCGGGTTTCCTGTCAGCCACCCGCGGCCCCCGCCTCAGCCCGCTCCGCGCCGCCGAGGCGCCCGGGGGCATGGCGAGCCCCCCCCCGGCTAACGGGGGGCTGTGAGGCAGCGCCCCGCCAGGGCCCCCTGTCGGGGGAGCGGCCCCGAGCCGCGCTGAGGCGGCGCGGCCCGGCCTTGCCTCGCCGAGCTGCCCCCGGGGCGGCAGTGCCCCCCTCGGAGAGGGCTGGCCCCGGCCTGCCGGGGGCGAAACTGAGGGGAGCTGGGCGTACAGCGAACCGAGCGAGGCTCCGCAGCACGCCGGGGTCGAGGGGAGCGCTGTAAGGCCACGGGGCTCCCCTGAGAACGGACAAAGGCACGGGGAAAGTCTCACAAGTTCACGAGGAGCAGCAGGACCACAAAGTTAACGGGGAGCTTCATGAGCTGAATAGCAAAATAATAATAGATGGAGGAATCTTGTACAGGCAAATTACAGAAATGAAACAACTCTGCCTCAGACATTCCCTCAGCTTTCCACTGTTTTCCAAGTGGCAGGTGCTCACCGCCCTCCCCAGAGCCCTGGCAACAGCTCACATCTTCCCACAGAGCTGCTCCCTTGGCAGGAGCAAAGCCCCACCAGCCCTGCCCTGCCACGAGCTGTGTGTGCAGCCTGCTGAGCAGCGCCTTACCTCAGCGCACAGCTACCAACAACGCAGGATTCCGTGACAGCACCGTTCCTTAACCTGCACAAACGAGGGCTCTGCCATATATCACAGTGTACTACTCCTCCAGGGCAAAGGTGAGGTCTTGCAGTATTTCACTACAAACACAGGAAGTTTTCCCTATGCTTGAAAAAAATTGCATCTTTGCATCCTGTGGCTGTACCACACTAGAGACAGCAGGCATACAGTCTGCGGGGATACTATTTACAACAGAAACTCTCCCACTGTATCAAAAATCAATCAATATAATCAGCAACACAAAACAATAACATCTATTTTTTACCCAGCTTCCCCCTAAAATGATGCAATAAGTAAAATTCACATTTAAGGGTTGTCCACTCGACATTAGGCTCTGATGGCACTAATGATAGATGTGTGAAGTCACAAGCACCGGCTGGAGCTCCCTACCATTCAAGCAGCGTCAGGCACTGTGCAGTCACAGAAACACACTCAGTTATTCAGCTGTCCTGGGGCCTGGGTTCATCTCTTCGTTCTGGTGAGACGTGGCAGAGTGAGCCTATCAAAAGCGCCACAGTCTGAGGAAGGACATGAAAAGCAACAAACATTTGTAAGAGGAAACAGGATGGTAAGATAAAGCCCATGCATTTGCTACCAGCTAGCATCGATGTGTAGCAGCACCCACACCACGAACAAGATTCTCACAAAAAAGATGCAACAAAATAAGTTACAGGTGCTACCCCACACCGAAAGCTTTGTGCCATTTCAGTTGTCATTTGAGTCAGGTTTCGATCAGGTACTGCCCAAGTCAGCTTAAAGATAAGGCCACGTGCAAGAGTGCTAATGATCGTGCATAATAACGGAACTGAGCACGGCGAGGGAAGCGAGTGGCTGTGTAGAGGGCTGGGTTTCCCAAACCCTGTCCCAGGTATTCCCTCAGGCGTGTAAAAGATGACGCTTCTCACACACAACGCCTGTCTGATGCACGCCCAGGTACCCATTCAGATATTTCAGGTATTTGTTAATTATGCACGCCTCACCTAGGAAAACAGCTGTACAACTCTAAATGTTTATATGATTAAAAGAGGAGAGAAAAGCATATTTAAGTTGCCTGGGGTGCTGTACAGTTTAAAAATATTAATTAGAACTATGATCTTCATTTGCCCATAAGCTCTTGAGTGCAATTTTAAACACACATCTCAGTTATACAAATTCTTTTAAACGTGTCTACAATAAAACCACTCCACAGAGCTACTCTCATGGCACTGTATCTTGTTTAAAATTAATCCACTCAGCAGAAAGCTTTGGCCAGGGAAAGAAAGAAAAAGATCAAATTAAAAATCGGGAAAGGAAACACCAGATAAGAAAGAAAAGGCAGCAATGGATGAGAAAACAGCAGGCCTGGCTGAAACTATTTCAGGGCTGGTGGTGACAGCTACTTTCTGGAGAGTCTACGGGAAGCAGATCGTGTTGGCTGCAGAAAGCACATTAAAGTCAAAGCACAGGCTCCAGTTTCCTTTCGCTGATTCTTATTTGATAGTGGAAAAACTCTGGCAGAGTGGTGAAATGGAGGGCTAAGGGCTTTAATGCCTGAAAGCACCAGGGTTCACCAAAGGACATCTCTCAGCACACTGAGATATTGCTTTAGACCTTTTTATTTCAACAATATAAAGTGTGGCTACAGTAATATCTCAGGGGTTCAGGTGATCCTTATCCTCACTGAGCTGTAGACTTGGGCCTTATCTCAGCAACCCTTTGATGGAATTATAATAATTGTAATTCACATTTGTCTATCACTCTGGATCTTAATGGATGCCTAATGGATGATTGGCCTAAGGATCAATAATATCACGTCTTGTCTACTTGGGATGAGAGAACTGAATGTTAAAATAAATACGTCCACTATGCTAAAGATGCAGAAATAATAAGCGGATCGATGCAAACAAAGTTTATCGGGAGGTGAGAAGGCCCTGCACGCAGCACAGAGAGGACCTGGCTGTTCTGCCCATTCAGCCTGGTTTACAAGCACATGTGTTGTGCACTTTTTAAGTAGCATAATAAATCACACAGTGTTTTCTACAACTAAATTCTTCCTAATCTAACCAGACAATTCTTAAACCTTTAATGGGCCTATGATTGTAAAATCATTTCTGTCTGGGTTTTTGAGCAGTAATCTTCAAATTATGGGTTTGAAACAGCAATAATGGAATGTGTCATAAAAGAGTTTTTCCTCAGTAAGTCTATTATTGTAATAAAATAATGTATCTAGTCACCTCTACATTCCACATTAACCCTTTTTATGATAATTATGAGTAAAGTGCATCTCTCATTTCCATTAAATAGTATCTTTGCATATCATCTTAAACAGAAGACTTATATAGGGCTGAAAGCAATGTGCATGTTCTTTTTTTTAACCATGCCAATAACTTGTTAAGATAAAATCCAGTCAGTTTAAGATTTATCCTTATACTTGGCCTTCACATAAGACTAACTTAAATTTTAAGTCCTAGTTTTCAGTCATAACATTTTGTCTTCACAGAAATATATTAGAATAGTATATATGAAATTACATATCCATATGCTCCTGTATCTATTGGTTACAATGGGATTCATGATCTCACTACAACACCCACACACCTTTAAAATACAATCAGTAGAACCCATTCTAGGTGTTCCACTGCAGGATGATTTGCAGATTATTTTAAAATCATTTTAAAAGAGTTGTAAGTTAAACCATAGTTGGAGCTGTTTCAAGACTTCATATCCAGTGTCAGAACATGTGGCTGTAGGAAACTCATTAGAAGAAGTTATACATTACACATGCTACTGCATTTGACAGAATTGGATCACACAAAGTCTTGATTATAACACCAACAAAATAGTTCTGATAAAATTTTACTGAGTGTATTCAACAGATATTACAAATTATTTGTAAAAAATATGCAGTGAAGATGAAGACATCATAAAATAATTAGCAATGTTGTCTAAGATCATGGATTTCATTGATATTAGTACTAAAAATGTTAAAATAATCTGGAACCTTAACTAGTCCATGAGTAATCTCTGTCTCAGTCTGCCAACCTCCAGTTTTATTACATTTTCCATGTCAGTTCCCTCTGCATCTGATTTTTGTAGCTCATGTTTGTGCTTGTTTCTTTGCATTAATTTGGTTGAGATTTCTTTAAAGTAAAACCTCAATTTTACCTGTTCCAAAAGTTCTTTCTAAGCGTTTCTCTCTCTTCCTCCATAAATCAGTTTCAAATAAAAGGTAGCATGTATAGAGATGTGTAGATAAACAAGCCTGAAATCCCATCTATTTTCATCACCTCTGTTCTCTTTTGAAATCTGGCATTAAAGAAAAGTTGGTTAGAAAACATTAGGTGTAGTAACTTACGCTATTTGTCTCAAGCTCGCTTAGTTTACAGTTAGCTTTATTTTTTACAAGAGTTCATACTGCACCACCACAAAACACTATAGGACTGGATTTAACAGGGTTTACGTTTAGTGACAAACGCACTTTCCCTGAAAGGGAAGAAAATCCTCAAGGGTACTTTGCTGCACTGACCTTAACACTACTCCTGTCTTGATCTATCATAGATGGTTACTAAACTTCAGAGTGAACTATTTTCCTTACTCTTCCTTAGAAATTTGTTATGCATGTATTCTATGAAGAGCTGAAGAAATCCATTGTAATTCACATTCATTTTATTAAATGTGACAGGAACAAATATAGGCAACTTGGTATTACAGTAAAGCAAATCCAGGTATTTTTTTGATGGAGAAATACTATAGCATGATCACCGATGTGTAGGCATTTTTCCAAAGAAAGTGCAAAGCTGTGATATTCCTCCATGATACTCTGAACATTTAATAAAAGTTTGTATTTGTATCAAGCAGACCAGATTATGAGTAGCAATTACATTAGGGTAATTGCTTGAAAAATAAAATCATTCTCTCTTGAAAGGGTCATCTTTGTAACTATTATCAAGGCAGCATTAATAGCCTTTTTTTTTTTTAATAGTTATAACTTAACTCTCTTAACAAAACTGAGTGGTCTACATAACCTGCTCCATTAAGTAAATTAGGTCTCGTTTTTATTTAACGGTGTTATTGACAGAGTTTTTAATCTTGCAGGATAATTACAGAAGAGAATCAGAATATCCTCATTTTTTAATCCTTACAGAAATAATTTGAGGAAGTTAATCAGGATTTCTTATCAAATTTATAAAGTGCAGTTTAACAATTAAGTTCCTTTGGACAGCAAGTCATTCTGAACAATTAAAATAGGAAAAAACAAACAGGCCAAGAGCAGAACTGTTTAATTTCTCTCTCCTTCTTGCCTTTAAATATTTTCAGCATGATTCAGTTTTAAAAGTGTAATCTCATAGCACTGTTTTATGCC